TCAGGCACCTGTCACTCCAGCTCCAGGGGCTCAGCACCCTCTCCTGGACTCTGCAGACAACCCACTCACATATGGACACATAAACAAATACACATATACACAAAACTAACATTTTTAATGTAGCACTTGAGGAACCTGAGATGAATCAGTGGTTGAGGGTACTGGCTGCTCTTCCACAAAACCAGGGGTCAGCTCCCAGCACCCACATGGCAGTCACAACCACCTGTAACTCCCATCCCAGGGGATCCGATGCCCCCTTCTGGCCTTATCGCGCACAAGATACACATAGAGCAGATACACATGCAGGCAAAACACGGGAAGAAAATAAAATAAATTAGGGGCTGGAGAGATGGCTCAGAGGTTAAGAGCTTCGCCTGCTCTTCCAAAGGTCCTGAGTTCAATTCCCAGCAACCTCCTGGTGGCTCACAACCATCTGTAATGAGGTCTGGTGCCCTCTTGTGGCCTGCAGGTATACACACAGACAGAATATTGTATACATAATAAATAAATATTTTTTAAATAAATAAAATAATCAATAAATAAATAGGTTGTGTAAAAGAGAGAGAGGGAGAGGAGAGAGAGAGACGTGGGGAGAGGCAGTTAGTTGCGAGGGCGAGGGCTCCTAGTGAAAACACAGTAGGCGCTCAATGCATGCTCGCTGTCTGAGAGGGCAATTCTGCGTGGGGTTCCATGTGCCTCTACACAGGACTTCTTGTGTTCATAGAGAGCGTACTGGGCAAGCGGTGCATGGACACGGAACCATGTGCAGGGCACACAGGGAGCATGCGCAGGCATGAGATGAATGTACAAGGCTGAGTGGTGCCCCGTGGTGAGACTCTGGGTTGCATTACATGCGTGTTGGAGGCTGTAGCCCCAAGACCCTCATTCTAGGTGGGGCTGGAGTTGAGGGGGCCTGGCTGGGCCCAGGGTCCCTGGCTGTCAGTCCCATGGTAGGTGGGGGTGTCCCCGCCAGCGGTGATTGAGCCTCTGATCTCCCACCAAGCCTGCCAAAATACAGCAAGACAGGGTGTAATTACCAGCACTTACTGCGGCCATTACCCCCCTAGCTGCTGCGTGTGACACACGACCCGTCAGCTCAGCATTTGCGCCATTAAGGGGCCTCATTAGCATCCCGGCTCTGAAGCAAAATTACCCTCACTGCTCATTCCAAGATGTCATCAATTTTAATTTAGGGCCCAAAGATAGTACAATCGGAAGGCCCTCCCTGGCCTGCCGCACACGGAGTGAGCCAGTGGGGGAGGGGTTGGGGGGGGAGCCAGGCCAAGGAGGCATTGAGGGAGAGCGACAGGAGCAGGCAGAAGAAAGAGCAGAGCCAAGGAAAAAGTCTATCCCCCAACAAAGAACACCCCTAACCTGAGCTTCCACTGGTGCCCCCTTGAAATGAAGTGGTGGTGGGGGCAGTGACCATATACCCCCAGGATGTCAGGAGAGTTAAAAGCAGTGTTTAGCTCCTCTTCAATCCCCTTTAAGTCCTTACAGCAGCCCGAGAAGTTATAGATCTCCATCACAGATGGGGAAACTGAGGTACAGGCTCCTAGTGCAGCAAGCTGTGTCAGAGTTCACCATGAAGTGTAGGTCTGTTAGGCTTTGCTGCTTCCAGCCTTCCACCCAGATGCTGTGGCCTTGCGGAACAGTGTCCATCAACACATCCGGGACAGGAGTGGGCAGAGGCAGCCATGCCCTGGTCTCAGACTGCCAGCCCATCTGCAGGGACCCTCACTCATTTGGTGTAAGACCCTGCACCTTCAGGCCTTCCTGCACAAACGGTGTCCCATACCTAGAGTGCTCCCTTCCTCCTCCTACAGGGGGAGCACTCCTGCCAGCCTGGTCCCTAGAGATAGCTGTCAACTCTGCCCCCTTCATCACTTCCAGTTTATATGTCTGTGTCCCCACCGTGTCCCCAGCTTACATGCCTGCTGCTCACCCTCTAAGGATATCTACTTAGGATCAGCTCTCAGTGAGGGCTCAGCAGTTGCCCGGGGATGCCCCCTAGCTGCAAAGGGCTCCCACTCTCATTGCTCCAAGAACAGCTGTGACTCCAGAATGGCGATTTCAGCCTGTCTCCCATGGGACAAAGCGGTGTGCCAGGAAGGTTTGTTGAATGACTGTGTAACTGAAGATGGGAACAAACGTGTCTGTGCTCAGGTCTCCCCAGGACAGGAATCTCAGCTCCTCTTCAGCAGCCCCGCAGGCTCACAGATACACTCCACACCCTGGAAATGGTTTCCTGACAGGAGGAGCAGGTGCCACATCCCAGCGTTCCTGATGGAAGCCTGGTTGTCCAGATCGTCTGACTTAGGGGATGGACGGAGAAGGAGTTTCCAGTCAGTTCTGCCTGGCAGTTATCCGTCATCATGCTCACGCAAGATCTGGCAGTCCACGAGCCTCAGTTTCCCCAAGTATAACTGTGGGATGAGGCTCGGTGGAACTGGAAGCAGGCTTGGGAGTGCAGGTGGAAGAATTGGGCTCCGCAGTCATCCCACCTGCTGCAACTCTGTGGCGCTTCCTGCCTCCTCCCCAACCCCCACCTGCCCCATTCTCCAAGCCCGTGACAGGGTCCTCATGTCAGCCAGCTCACAGAAGACAGATCGCTGCCTTAATCACTCTGGAAAAGAACCCCAAGCCGATATAATATTATAATTAATTAATTCACTAAAAAGGTATTAAATTTCTCTCCCCCTGTGGATATTATCTGAATTCATTGACCTTTAGAAAAATCGCCGTCTAATTGTAACCAGGTCCAGAAGCATTTGCGGCCCATCCCTTTTACATTAATATCTTCCAGGACCAGACTCCGGCTGCTTAAATATTGTATAAATTCCACTGCTCCCCTCAGAAAAGAGAGAGCAAGGAAGAGATGAGTCTGGAAGACACCAGGAGGGGGTGGACACAGAACCATGGGTCTGGAGGCCCTGGGAAGTGGAGCAGGAAGGGCATTAAAGGGGCTCTTTCCAGTTGCTCCAATGGCCAGCCAGGGCGCTCAGAGGTCAGGGGAGGGGCTAGGGTTTGAGGTGGGCGGGGCAGGAGTTCCTGAAGTCAGGAATGAGTCTGTGTGCTGCACAGAGGGTCTCACACCCTCAGCTTGTCATAGGTCACAAAACAGCAAATGAAGAATCAGACTTAAAAGAATGGTGGAGATAGGAATGCCAAGCAGGGCCTTCTGAGATCCCAGTTGTCCCTGTAGATGTCAGGCAATCCAAAACTGGCAACCTGGGAAGAGGGAGGAGCTGGTGTGGACGGACAGACAGGCTAGGACCTGGAGCTGAGGGGACAGGACGCTATGCATGTGCCCCATCTCTGCTCCACCAGCTCCTCCTTTGGGTCCTCTTACATGGGACTGAAGGAAGCTATGGCTGCTGGGACCTCATCCCACCATACTTTGCCCCCAAGGCTTGAAAGGGGCTACCTCGCTGGAAGGGTCAGCACGGCCATCTTTCTTCACAGCGCTTTGTACTCAGCCTTAACGAGACTTTCCCTTGCAGATGTCCCAAGGGTTACCCTCCATCGAGGGATGAAGAACAGAGTCCCCTATTTGACTGGGATCAGTCATAACCCCCAGCCCGACTCCTTTCCAGTCACAGGTGAGGGTCTTGCCAGCCAGTCTCAGATAAACATTTTCTGGCGACGTGAAGTGCTGGAGACAGAGTCTGCGTTGGACATCAGCAGCCCCAGGCGGGAGGGAAGCCACCCAGCCAAGCAGTGTGAACTGCTCCTCGCTTGGCCCTGAGACCGACTCCCCAGATTGCTGTCTGAGCCTGTGCGCCCCCGTGTGGACAGAACCCCACTCTCACCCTGGTCCTGTTGGAAGTGCCATCCTGACCCACGGCCCACGCAGCAGGAGCCCTGAGACCAGGAAGCTGCGGGCCTCGGTGACAGGGGTAGCTTAGGGTTTTGAGGGGTTATATGAGGACGTAGAAGTCAGCTTCCCACGTCACTCTAGATCCACCAACCACCAGAAGTGCTGGCCCCAGAGTCTGTGGACCCCACCCACATCCCAGGCTCCTGTTGACCTCAGCCAGAGTTCAGGGTTCATGCCAGGAGTTTCAGAGGGAGGGTAGATCCCAGGCTATGGAGAAGGACCCTGAACTGGAAGGAGTTAAGGCAGGCGAACTCAGGCTCTACAAAGTCATCCAAGGCTCCAACTGACCTTGAGATTAATCTTTGAGCTCAGCGAGCCCACCGTTTGGCGCCCTTTCTCCGCACGTTAATTGCTCGAATGTTGATTTGATCTCTTGTTCTTCGAAGAGGAAATTACCCTCTTAGTCATATTCATACTGGATTTTAATTTTTTTTTTTAAATTAGGCTTCTTTGGCCTTTGGGGACCCTCTGAAGAGAAATCCATTTTGCTCCCCGGCAGAAGAGCCTTGAAAATTGAGGAACCAAGCAAAACCTACAAAGGCCCTCCTTGGCCATCAGGTTCACTTCCCCATCCAGGCAAAAGGTCTAACGCCCCAGAATCCGGAGCAAAGGGGTCCTAGAACCCCACCACTGCACAGCGCTGGAGCAGACTCCCAGCTAGGGTCCTCTGCTCCCATCTATTCCAAAACAAGTTCAAGTGGGTCCATTTCCCCATAGCCATAAAGACACAGCCTGGCAATCATCTCCAGCTGGTTTGTAGCTACCCAGACAGGGGAAGAATGCTGAGGGTCCCACTAGAAGACTGGCCAGCCAGAGCAACACATCTAGAGAAGCGGCTGGGAGCAGACCCACCCATCCCCAACAGCATAGCTGTTCAGACCACTGCTGGAACTGAGGGACCAGCATGGCTGCAGCGCCACCTCGTGGCTTCAGTGAGACACATCCCCCCCCACCCCACCCCCCCAGCCTCACACTGCAAAAGTTGTTTCTCTCTCCTCCCTAGGAGTCAGTGCTACTCAAGGCGCACTTGAATTCTGGATCCGGGATGGGGCCCGTTGGGCTGGCTCCCACTTGTTGTGAGCTGAGGCCGCATACACCGCAGAGCCAGGACAAATAATACAAAGCACAGTGTTTACTAAAGGCACGAAGTGGGGGGTCTGGGGGCGGGGGTACTCTCCACCCTGAACCCAGACTCCTCTTCTGGCCACCCCACCCTCATACCGCCAGGGGAGAGCTGTTAGCACCAAAGGGGGGTGGGTGCCCCACCTGTGGGGGAAGTATCAGGCCGGGGGGGACAGGCTGGGTGCCATCTAGTCCCAGGAAGGCAGGCCTAGGCACCCCCAGGCCAGCTGCTACCTCAGAGGTACTTCTTATACCTTCTCCAAAATGTCCTTCATGGAGGGGCCCGGGCTCCGAGAGAGGGGCTCCCCTACCAGGGTTTCTTCTTGTTCCTCATATTCTTTCACCTCACCCTTGTTCTTCCACATCGCAATTCATAGTACTGCCCCCAGAGGAGGGGGCTCTAAGCCGAGCGGCAGGGCTTAGCCCATCTGCAGCCAGGCAGGCACTAAGTCCAAACAGGGGCCGACCAAAGGGAAGGAGAGGCAGGGTAGGCGGCTACTTCACTCCAACTGCAGCCTGAGGGATAGGAGGGTTCTGCCCAGTCCTCCCAGCCCCCAGGCAGCCCCTGCTCCTTGGCACAGGGGCAACCAGGGTCACAGAACATCGCCCTCCTCCATACTGAAGCTGCTCCGGCGGCTGCTGGCCTTGGAGGCCTCAGGGGACATGGTAGAAAAGAGGGGGTCTGAGGCCAGGGGTAGCAGGGAGTCATCTAGGAGCATTAAGTCCAGATCCTTCTTGGACAGGTTGGGGAACGGGGAGCCATGCTCTGTCCCCAGGGGATCATGGTAGCCTGTGGGCCCCTCATCACCCCCACCCCCAAAGCTCAAACTGTGACTGAAGTCCAGGTGATGAAAAGGGGACTGTGGCTGGGCGGCTGGGGGCAGTGGGGCCTGCGGAGGGAGAGCCGGCATCGGCTCAGGGTCGGGGACCTCAGGCGCCAGCATGAGCGCCTCCCCTGGGCCGTCTTCACTGGGTAGTTCCTGCTTCACCACCTGTTGGGCCAGCTCAGCCATGTTCACGCCGGATGGCGATGTCGTGGGGAGGCCGTGGACCCGTGCCTGCATCTCCAGCTCCTGTGGGGAGCAGAAGGAGCCGTAAGAGACATGTGATGCCAGCACCAGGCCAGCCGCCCAGACCGGCCACACTCGCCGCCCCTCCCGCTACACTCAAGAGCACAGCATCTCTCTCCCAAGTCACAGCTGGTCTGCGGCTTGTCGAGCCAACACAGAGCACCTTGGTCGGCTTTCTCTCAAAATTTTAAATTGAAATAGACTTGTCTGAGTGAGGTGGGAAGAGAAATTACCAAAAGGCACGGCATGCGTTAAGGATAAGTTTAGTCCAAAGTTCAGTTTCCACTTCAATTGTCTGTGTGCTTAGGTGTGAACAATCAAAGGTTAAAGCCGGGGAAATGGAGAGATGGTTCAGTGGTTAAGAGCACTGGCTGCTCTTCCAAAGGTCCTGAGTTCAATTCCCAGCAACCACATGGTGGCTCACAACCATCTGTAATGAGATCTGGCGCCCTCCTCGGGCGTGCGAGCATACATGGAGGCAGAACATTGTATACACAATAAATAAAATAAATCTTTAAAAAAAAAAGTTAATGCCTGTGGTCCCCGGGCAGTGGTAGCAGGTGGTGGCACACACCTTTAATCCCAGCACTCAGGAGGCAGAGGCAGGTGGATCTCTGTGAGTTCGAGGCCAGCCTGCTCTATAAGAGCTAGTTCCAGGACAGGCTCCAAACTACACAGAGGAAAAAAAAAAAAAACAACAAAACCCTATGGTCTAATGTTTAGAGCAGTGGTTCTCAACCTGTGGCTCATAACCCCTTTGGCAAATTTCTATCTCCAAAAATATTTACACTACAATTCATAACAGTAGCAAAATTACAGTTATGAAGTAGCAATGAAAAAAATTCTGTGGCTGGGGGTCCCCACAGCATGGGGAACTGTATTAATGGTCACAGCTTTAGGAAGGGTGAGAACCACTGTTGTAGAGGACCAGCCTTGGGGGCCCTCAATACAGCCAGGAACAGAGTCCCAGCTCCAGTGGGGTGCTGACTCTCAGCCCTGCTCCTCAGTTTGCCCAGGTGTTTGCCAGCGCTGCCTCGACCCACTCTGCCTTCCAGACACGCAGGGCACCTATGCAGGGTCTACTTTCCATTGCCCAAGGATATGTGAGCAGGGGTGACTGGTGCCTCACAGAGACCTGCAGAGTCAGGGACAGTGGCCTATTCCTGCAACCCCAGCATTTGGGAAGCTGAGGCAGGAGGACTATAATTTTCAGGGCAGCCTGCTCTACAAAGAGAAATTCCATCTCTCAGAATATAAATTTTGTTTTGTTTTGTTTTTGTTTTTTCTAGACAGGGTTCTCTGTAGCTTTGGAGTCTGTCCTGGAACTAGCTCTAGTAGACCAGGCTGGCCTTGAACTCACAGTGATCCGCCCGCCTCTGCCTCCCTGAGTGCTGGGATTAAAGGCGTGTGCCACCACTGCCCTTCTAATTTTTTTTTTTTTTGAAAAGTGGGGCAAAACACGAGTATCTGACTTTAAGAAGAATAGACCTGCCTGGTCCCCAGTGTGGACTGCAGGCTGAGGGTCTCACAGAACGGAAGGAACTGGGGTTCATTTCACTGAGGTATCACATCCTGACTGATGCAGCTTCCTGATTGATGGGCAGCATTTATGCCCCACCCCAGGACTCGGGAACCAGATGAGATCTGTGAAAGCCACCCAAGGAGCCCAAAGTCAGGGCCAGACCTGGATGCGAAGCCAGAGCTGCTTGTTGGTCATCTCCAGGCGCCGAGAGTGGTTCTCCAGTTCTCGAGATTTCTGCAGGTCCTTCTGCATCCTCCGGATGTAATCCACAGACGCCTTGAGAATGGTGCCCTTGTTCCAGCGCACGTCCCTGCAGCCACAACCACATGGAGTCAGAGGTGAGCACCCAGAGGCCCGGCCAGGTCCCCCTAACACTAGGCTTGGTTCAGAGTCCCAGCTGCTTCCACCCCTCCCCATACCTAGCCTTGAGTAGAGGGGATTTGTCTATGGAAATTTGTCCAGCTCCTCACTAATCCTTGGGACCAAGCAATCTGCCCAGCCTATCTCTCGCCTTCAGCTCTCACTCCTGCCCTGTGTCTCTCACCTCTCCATCAGGGTCTTTCACCCACTTTCCCAGCATGAGTCCTTCTCCAGGAAGTTCCCCCTTTACCCCAAAGTCTCCTTCCCCTACAGAAGCTGTCTTGACCCAGCAGAGACAGGAATATTCTCTTCTCAAACACGCTACCTCCATCACTGCCTTTAGCAATTGAGAACTGATAATGTCTGCAGCCTCTGCCCAGCCCAGACCCTTCCCCTCCCTCCAGAAACCTGCTCACAGGTCATTGGCCTTGGGGATCAGCATTCCCAGCTCCTTGATGCGGTCATTGATGTTGAACCTGCGTCTCCTCTCAACTACAGATTAAGATTTTAGAGGGCATGGTTAGAACACTGGGAACCCACCTAAGAGAAGCCTCCAACGTAGATGGTAGGTACCCCATAGAAAATCTTAGTTTAGAATAAAAGGGACTCAAGTCTCAGTATGGTGCTTTAATCCCAGCACTTGGGAGGCAGAGACAGGGGGATCTCTGTGAGTATGAGGTTAGTTTGGTCTACAGAGTGAGTTCCAGGACAGCCAGGTTACATAGAGAAACTCTGTGTCAAAAAAACAAAAAAGAAAAGGGAAGGAGGGATAGGAGAGGGGGGGGGGGAGAGAAAGAAAGAAAGAAAGAAAGAAAGAAAGAAAGAAAGACAGACAGACATGCAGATTGGGGTTGGGGTTGGAAGCTGGGGAGGGTCAGGGTGCAGTTTAGACAATTAGGGGGCAGGGTCAGGAGTCAGTTTTAGCAAGAGAGCTGCCTGGGGCAATCTCTTCCACTCCTATTGCCCGAGGCCCTGAAGAATAAAATCCAGTGAACTGGAAAATTCAAGAAAATTCCACCCAGCGGTCCCTCCCATTTTCCTAAAAAGACCTAATGCAGTGGTTCTCAAGCTCCTCAAATTGAAATAAAGTGAAAATAAGATTATTTTCATCGCTACTTTATAACTGTAATTTTGCTACTGTTACTAATCATAATATAAATATCTGACAAGTAGGATATCCTTGTGGAATATCAGGCAAACCCCTGTGACCCCCAGGTGGAGAACCGCTGGCCTGGTGAAAGGCGGCTGAAAGATGGGTGGTTTGAGACGGTACAGGGCGGCTGGTGGGGAGTGAGGCAGACACTGGCTTCTCAGCAGGGTAAGATGAGGGAAGGGTGGAACTCACTTAGATTGTGATTGTCCTTCTTCTGCCGTTCCTTGGCCAGGGCCCGGCTCTCGGCATCTGCAGGCCAGAGAAAGAGAGAGGTGGTGGGAAGAAAAAGAGAGAAAAAAGGACTCCGGAGCCCCAAGGGTATAGGGGAGAGGACTGCAGTACCTGTTAGCTCTCGCTTCTGGGTCAGGTCAGCAGGGCAAGAGCTGCTGGTGACACCTACCAGGGAGGCTGTGACCTGAGGGTCACCGCTGTACACATTCAAGTGGCTGCTGGACAGGGGTAGCTGTGGAGGAAGGAGTGGAGGGGGGCTTGGTGAGTCCTCACCAGGACCCATGGTGCCAGGAGCAGCTGTTCCTGAAGTGCTAAAATTACCCCTGAGCCCCTTCTCCAGAATTCGGTGTGCTGAGGAACGTGTGGCCCAGAGCAGCCCTGCCCTCAGGAGCCCCTGGCCAGGGCGGAGGCTGGAGAGGAACCTAACCAATGCAGGGATTAAGCCGCAGGGAGGGGCTCAATTCGTTTGGGAGTTTGAGTTCTTCTGAGAGTATGGAATTCAACAGAGCAGCAGCACAGAAGGCATTGTAGCAGGGTTGGAAAAGATCTACCACAGAGCCAGGCAAGAGCCAGCCACAGGCCCAGAGATTCACTGTGTAAACAGGAGCCAGAGAGGGATAATTAACTGGAGAACCTGGTTTCCTGGCCTCGGTTTCTGTGAGCAACAGGTCTGAGCTGGGCTCCCCCTCCTGCTTGCCCTGGCAATGCCACCAGACTGACTCTGCCTCCCCCAGGACTTTCTCTCGGTGGCATGGCAATACTCAAGCCAAAGGACCAACCAGAGCAAAGGGGTGAGCCCCAAGAAAGGCGGTGGCTCTAGCCTCTGGCAGGTGAGCCCCAAGGAAGGTGGTGGCTCCAGCCTCTGGCAGGTTGTAGGCCCATATTTCTATATGGTGTGGCAGCCAGGCTCTGAAGCCATAGGCCCCACCTGAGGTGGTCCTGTAGCCCCACAGACAGGCTGTCACTGTCCTAAAAAAGGGTCAGGATGTTGTTTGTTCCTTTCTTTGTAATTTAGAGGATGCCTGATAGAAATGCTGATTCAAGTCTCCTGACAGCTAGTATACAGAGCAGACAGGCAGAAGGAGACAAGAAGCCATTCACCTGGTTACCTAGGAGACAGAATGCTAATGTATTTCCCCTAAGTTAAGTTTTGGTATAAAGGCTGGAGAATAAATAGGAATAATTTTCAGGATGTGAACTCAGGACTTCAGGAGGGACCACTGAGAATCTCCCTCCCGAAAAAGCCATATAAATTGTGGCCGGGCGGTGGTGGCGCACGCCTTAAATCCCAGCACTCGGTAGGCAGAGACAGGCGGATCTCTGTGAGTTTGAGGCCATCCTGGTCTACAAGAGCTAGTTCCAGGACAGGCTCCAAAAGCTACAGAGAAACACGCTGGTCCAGGGAGAGATAGTTTATATTGGGGTATGGTCAAGAGAAATAATTGAGGGTCCGGGCTAGCATTGGACCCGACACAGGTGAGCCCCAAGAGAGGTGGTGGCTCCAGCCTCTGTCAGGTGAGCCCTGAGAGGGGGTGGCTCCAGGTTTGCCTGATTGAAACTAATTCTTCTCACCCTCTATTTTGTCTTCTTTTTTATTTTTATTTCAGTTTTGCATTTAAATTTTATGTATATGTCTGTGTCCAAACGCGGGTTTGTGCAGGCAGCCACAGAGCCCACAGAGGGCGTGGGATCCCTGGAGCTGGAGTTGCAGGTCACCGACGTGGGTGAGTTCCCAAGTGTGGGCTGTGCAAGAGTGGTTTCACCTGTCAGCCACTGAGCCATCTCTCTGGCCCCACCCTCTTTTTCGTCCCTTCTAATCTCCCCGGAGCCCTGTGGGGTAAAAGGTATCACCCCATTTTGCAGCTGAGTAGACAGGGGAGTCAAAATGGGGGAGGAGGAACTTCCCAAGGTCGTGACAGAAAGTCCAGATCTCTTGATCCAAGCCTGCTCCTCATCTGCTACCTAGGCCTCTCCCTCCCCACCCAAGTCAGTGAGACCCTCAGATGGTCATACAGACAAGAGTGACCGAGGGAAGGGTCCTGTGGTTGGGAACAAGGCAAGCCCTTCCGAGTAACACAAACCTTCAGCCCTGGACACAGCAGAGGAGGGGGATGATCTGCTCAAGACAGACTGACTCTCTTTGGACACACTGCAGCTCTGGAAGGTTCTCCTAGCCTCTTCTCTACCCACTCAGGGAACTCCCTGAGACCACCCCATCACACATCCTGGCCAAGGCTGGGGCATGTCTGTCTTCTCTTCTTCTGAAGCAAGGCCTCACTTATGTGGCTCCAACTGTCCTAGAACTCACTATGGAGCCAGCCTGGCCTCGGACTTCCGGAGATTCACCTGCCTCTGCCTCCCAAGTGCTGGACTAACCATCCCCCGCCTGTCTTCCTTGGTTCAGTTCTACTCAGAGTCCTGAGTCTTTCCCACAGTCTTGCCTCCACAGACACCAGCTCTGGAACCACTATGTGTGTCCCCCAGCCCAGCCCAGTCCAGCCCAAGAGTACCGTGTTTGGCATCTGCATCTCAGGGTTGATGTAGCCCAGCACATTGTCCAGGCGCATAATGTTGTCAATGACATCATCAAACTAGAAGAGAGAAAAGTTCATTTGGGGATGACCTACCTGAAGAGCGGCAGCCATTCACCTACCCCAACACCACCTCACCCAACCTGCTCCTCTAGAGGAGCAAATGAACCAGAGAAAGGGCCTTCGGCTGAGCCTAAGGCTGGTTTAGGCTTGTCCCCAGGACCTATCCCTTGCCAGGGAGTTCTTGACACACCTATCCAGGGCTACGAGAGCACTGGGCTTTCCTCTTAGTCTGCCCTATCCCCTTACAAGAAGATGGCAACTCTCCTCAGAACAGGGCTCCCTGGAGGCAGGACTGTGTCTCCCTGAGATTGGAGCTCCCTGCAGACACAGCTCCACTTCTTCCACTAAAACCACTTTCCCAGAGCGCCACAGCTGACAGACCAAGCCGGCAGCCCTCACTCACCTCCTTCTCAGGATTGGAGCTGATGTGCAACATGGCCATGGGACTGTTGGGGGCACTGTTGCCCGCTGAGGTGGACAGTACGTGTCCAGCCCGCACCCCAGGGGATGCTGCTGGTGGGGGCTTCGGGGAGCCTTGGGCTGGGCTGATGTGGGCCGCAAACTTGTTCCCGTAGGTCTCTGACAGGTACTCCCGCACCTTCTGGTGCTGGGACTGCTGCAGGTGGTAGGAGGTGGGGTTCTCCAGGTAGGACTGCACCTGGGGAAGGGGAAGGCACAGCTGTGGAGAGGATGGGACTCATGGAGCAGGACAGAAATCAGTGGGGGCAGAGGCCCTACCTTCAGCACCTCCCCAGGCACAGGTGGTGGCGACTGGAAGTGGACCGGGGTGTTGATGGCTGGGGTGGGTGGGCCTCCCAGCTGCGGCTGCTGTTGCTGCTGCTGCATGTAATGCATGACGGCCTGCTGCTGCATGCGCTCTCGCTGCTCCTCCTGCTGCGCCTGCTCCCGCATGAGCTGCATGCGCAGCCCGATGCGTGACGCCATGGCAGCTGCTGGTTCGGGCTCCCTGCAGTCGAGAGGAGACAGGTCCGTGAAGCAGTCATCCTCCTCCTCATAGTCTTTAAACGTGGGCTGGCACAAGTACGGTTGCTCCCACTGCACAGAAGGAGAAACTGAGTCCTGACAGAGGGGATTTGCCCAAGGCCACTGAGCGAGCTGAGCCATGAGCCCAAGTTCCCTGACTCCTAGACCAGAGTGATGGTAGGAGCCCACATGTCGCCCCTCCGTCACATCCCTGTCCTGAGCATTTCATACCTGGCCTCAGCTCCATCCTCTCTCCTGCCCCTCCCTAGCCCAGCCCGTGCCACGCCTTCTCTGAGGGCCTGAGGAGCCTCCAGATGCTTGTGGCTCCTCCCCCACCATCTGCCAGAAGTTCCATCATTCTGCTAGTTCCTGTCTGTTTTCTGCTCAGAACTCTCCCGAGGCTCCTGTTCACTCAGAGCAAAAGCCTAAGACATGGCCGCAGAGGCCCTCTGAAATCTGCTGCCTTCGTGGCCCCCCTTAGATCTCCCACCCTCACACACTCCCCCCCCCTTGTTCTACCCACTCCAGCCACACCCCCTAAACTAGCCTTCAAACACCCCAGGCGTGTTTCCACCTCGGGGCCTTTGCACTTGCTGTCCCTCCACCTGGAACATTCTTTCTACAAATACCATCAAGGCTCACGTCTTAACCTCTTCCAAGACTCAAATGTCAGCTTACAGTGCTGTTTAGGGACCACTGTGATAAAATGGCATTATCCCCTCCCCCTGCCTTGCCTCTCTGTATCAGAGGCCACCATCTAGGACGGGGCATTTTTTGGCTTAAGTTTGTTATTGTATTCGCTGTCTGTCCCTTACTAGGAATGCAAGTCCCCTGAGGGCACACATTTCATCTGTTTACTGCTGCACCTTCGGCCTCTAGCCTCTGGTGTGGGAGGCAGACACCAATGGAGGAGAAGGGAGAGAATGGATATGATCCGTGAGTCAGACACTGGACACGTAGTCCCCCAGCTCCTGGATCCCACAGTCTCGGCGAGAAAGGAGGGCCCCCAGGCAGGGCTAGTCCTATGTAGAAGGGGCAGCTTCGGGCTCCTCACTGTTCAGAGCTCGGAGCTTGACCCACTGTGGGGAAGGGTGACTGAGGCCCCCAAACCTAGGCAGGGAGGTGGAAGGGTGAAACCCAATGAGCCCCCAAACTGGGCCTGCACTCTCCCTAGGCCACTAGGTAACTGGGCAAGTCTCTTCCTCTCACTGGGCCACAAATAAAAGAGTAGAACCCAGTGACTTCTCAAGGACAGTCCAGACTGAAAGGCACAGGGCTTGGGGTACCTGAGTCCCTGAGAGGACAGTCAGGGAGAGGAGGGATTTGGCAAGAGAGAGGGCTTTCCCATGAGCAGGTGGACACAGAGCCCGGGTTCTCACTTTGTTGTGTGATTTGGGCAAGCTGCTTAACCTCCTAAAGCCTCACTCAGTTTCCTCCTCTGTAAACAGCATCTTCCTCTGCCGCTTGCGCACTGCCTGGCAGTCTGCGGGTGCTCAATCTAACCAGGGTTTTCAAACTGGGATCCAAGGCCTCCATCAGCAATGCTGGGAAGTCCTTGCTCAACCACAAACCATGGTCTTCTCATGAAGAAGGGAAACAAAGGCACCGGGCAGTGAGACACAGCTAGGACACACCCCAGATTCTGGGGAGCTGGGGCAGAAGTGGAGCTCAGGTCACAGATGCCTAACCAAGACTCCATCCACTATCTCCCGCAGCTCCCTAATGGAGTGAGGATACCTACCATCCTGTCTGTCCTGTAGCACACAGCAACCTTCCCCCCCATTTTCCATTCGCTGCCCAGCGAAGGCCTGAGCAGCCCCTGTCGGCAGGGCAGCCCCCAACAACCCAGGCCCTGACTCTCCACCCTCCCCCATTCCGTAGCAGCTCCCAGCTGCAGCCCCCACTGCCTCCCACCAGCACGTCTCCAGCTCTTACAGAGGGGTGCCCCTGTCTTCACATCACAGCCTGTTAGCCACACTGCCAACAGACCCCTGGCTCTGACCAGATGCAGCCCTGCACATCCACTAGGCAGCCAGCAACCTCCCCTCCATGGACAATTCGACTTTAGATGGCCAGTGGGGGCCAAGGGGCCTGGCCGTGCCAGCCGGCTCAGGGAGGGCTAGGGAGAAGGAGTCCCTTGTTCCCCTGACAAAGAGTTGGCCTGGCTACCTCAAGGACTGTGCTAGACCCAATAGGCCATGCTCTGGCTGCATTAGCCTCAGCTCCCTGTCTGTGAAATGGACGTGGATTCAACCCCCTCTCCAGCCTCCGGACAGATGGAGTGAAAAGAGAGTCTAGCTAAGCGGGGGTGGGTACCAGTGACTTCTGAGGGAGGAAGCAGGCAGAAAACACTTTCCCATTCCTAGCACCTCCCGGACAGAGCTACTGTACCCCATATTCCTGACGGCCAAACTAGCCTCCCTGGCTGAGCTTGGGAGAATGAATGGTAAGGACCAAGAGCTTATGGGTACTGGGGAGGAGAGAACCTATATGCTGATCAGCCTCAGTGGGGGCTAGCCAGGATGAACCAGGAGACAGGGACAGTCCAAGTGTTTGTGCCCCTCTCTTCCTGTCCCTCAAAGCCTGGAAAGGGTCCCCTGTGCAAGCCCAGGAACATGGGACCCACAGGACTTACTATGGACAGATACCACCACCTCCTAAAGGAAGGGGTCAGTGGCCCCAGAAAATCCCTGCCTCTTCCCGTGGTACTGCCAACCCCATCTGTGCACCAGGACCCACTGGGTACTTCCAGCTGTCATTTGCCCAGGTCCTCGGCTGACTGCCTCAGCCCAAAGCCTAGATGGCTTAGTCACGACCCGGTGAGCCCCCTGCCTCCTCCGCTGCCACCCGCACTAGTGTGTGAACTTCCCTAACCATACATCTGAGTGTGGACAAGCTGGGAGAGCTTTTCCTAAGGAGACGGGTGGGAGTCAGGATGGGAGGACAGAGATGTCAAGGAAAAGTCTTGAGTCCAGGAAAGAAGACAGCAAAGATACATCACGAAGTCGAAGAAGAGGAGGAGGGGGAAAGAACTACAGAATAAAGTGGACAGCCTGAGTCCTGTTAGGCAGGAGAAGGATGCTGGAGGCTGGTCCAGGAGAGGACTACCCTTTAGACATCCACAGGAAGGAAACAGAGGCACGGAGACGGAATGGCTTGGCTGGAGCCGCAGTCTCTAAGCAGCAGGAGGAAGAAGGCAGCCGCTCCCACCTCTACTTGTAACATACTCTTCTGAACTCCCTGGCACCTGAAACTCTTCCAAGTGGTCACCTCTGGGGAAGGGTGGAGGAGGGGAACCTGTTTCTGTGGTTCCCCCCACTTAGGAGGCATGTACCCTCCTGTGTGACTCGTGTGGGGCCGGCTGGCTTCTACAGGCCTATGGGAAGGAGCCCCATTTGATCCTGATCATGTCTGAAGGCATCTCTGAAAAGCAGTGACCCCACCCCCAAGGTCACTCGCCAGGCCCGAACTCTGCCCTTCTTAGAACAAGTGGGGGCCCTGAGTGGCAGAGGCACTGATGTGTCCCAGGCTGTTCTTGAACTCGCCATGTAACTTCTGACACTTCTACTTCCTCGTCCCAAATGATACGATTCCAGCTGTGCACACTACTACATCTGGCCTGGTGCGCTGCCGGACATCCACTTCAGGGCTCCACCAAATGAACTGCCTTTCAACGCGGTGTTGGGAGAAACGTTCAAGGGCTACAAACTCCTGATCCTCCTGCCCCAGTCTCCCACGTGCTGGGAGGTGTTTGTCACCCATACCCGGCTTCTTGGGAATTTGTCTGCCTTGTTGGTAGAACCTTTAAAAACTGGACCACTGGGCGTGGAGATGTAGCTGAGTTGGTAGAGGCTTCCCTAGCACACAACCCCCTGGGTTGGGTCCCCAGCACTGCGTGAACTGGGCACGGTAGGTGGTACCTGCCTGTGACCGCAGCACACAGAGGCGGGGTGAGGGACAGAGAAGTTTAAGGTCATCTTTGGCTACATAGAGAATCTGAATCTAACACACGAGACCTTGTCTCAATAAATAATAAACAACAAACAAATAAAAGTTGTATCTCAAAGCCGAAATCCATGGCAGAGGCAGGCAGATCTCTATGAATTTGAGGCCAAATTTGAGGCCAGCCTGGTCTACAGAGCAAGCTCCCGGCCAGGTTCTCCTCCCTGCTGACAAAAAGCTGTGCGTGGCCATTCAACACCGACCCCACACTCCACTGCCGCGGGCCTCACTGACGTGTCGCAATAGAGGCCAGACTCAGAAATCCCTGGAGCCAGGCTGGGTGTGGTGGCGCATACCTTTGATCCCAGCACTCAGAAGGCAGAGGCAGAGGAGACAGACTGGCAGATCTCTGTGAGTTCAAGCCCAGCCTGGTCTACACAGGCAGTTCCAAGACAGTCAGGGCTACGAAGAGAGACCCTGCCTCAAAAAACCACCACCAATAACAACAACAAAAAAAAAACCCCAAAATGTACAAAGTTCCATCTACAAATATAAAGTTCAAAAGCAGGCACAAAGCATCTACTGTGTGAGAAGTCAAGCTGCAGTTAGCCTTGGGGGACTGCCTGGGAGGGAGAAAGGGCCACTCTGCGGGAGGGGGCCAGGAATGGTCTGCGAGGCTGCAGGTGTTGGTGACACAGGCTGACTTGTTTATGAGCACTGGTCCAGCTGCTGGCTCCTAATTGTTTTCATTTTCTGGAGTTCACTGAGGGAGGGAGGCCAACCTTGCACAGCTGAGAAGTAATAGCAAACAGCTTGCCTTCACCAACATTCTGGACCTCACCAAGCCCACGATATCACTCGAGAGCAACTGGGGGCCAGCAAGATGATTCAAAGGACAAAGGCTCCTGCCACCAAGCCTGGGGACCTGAACTTGATCCCCAGAATCCACAAGGAAAAACTGACTTCCACAAGTTGTCCTCTGAGCCTCCACTTACACACTGTGGCGCGCGCGCGCGCACACACACACACACACACACACACACACACACTAAAGGTGTTTTTCATATTATTATATTATTATTACAGATATTCATTAGGCCAAGGAAGGAATTCTAAACGTGGAAAACACT